GATAGAATTGTAGGGGAGAGAGAGAGACAGAGAGAGTTAGTCGATGTTAATTTTATCACTCACCTTCATTTTGTATTGGTGTGAATACCGGTGACTAGGAGTAGTGTTCTGATTGTTTTAATTCTAACTGCAAATTTATATACTAGATTATGTGGTATAATTTACACTTTTTCTATAATCAATCTAGCGTCTCTTGTTGAGTGACATTTTGTTCTGATTAGAGGAGTGAAGGATTATATGACTTTAAATGCAGAACGAGAAATTAACCACCGTATTTGACCTTTTTGACATTGATCTCGCTACTGACATATTTCTCTTTCCATCTTTCTTACTTTGTAGTTTTCTCCCATTATCATTCTAGCTACTCACATTAACTTTGTGACAGTTAACCCTGGGCTGATAATTTGTTTTGATCACATTTGCTAATTTTCACGGAATATACATTCGTCACATATTGTTGATGATTTTACTACTGACACTATCGCTTTTGCGGTTCTTATTATACTTTCATGCTTCTGATAGTTTTACTTAGGAATATGAAGTATTGTGGTAATAGTGTCGTCAGTTTTGTAGGTGGTAGAATTTTGAACAGTCTGAAACTCTGGGAACCAACTAGTCAAGGACCCATGGTTTAGCAAACATGTAGAAGAGAATGGAGATAGATGAGACAAATACTGAGGAGGCCATCGAGTGAATTTGCTTGCCAGGATATCGCAGGAATGGAGCCCGAGTGGCAAAGGACGAGTGGAGCGTCCTAGGTTGACATGGACAGGATCTTGTGACGATGAGATGAAAACTTATAGGCAATCGTGGGGCAGCTGAAGAAGATTGAAGAGAATAGGCTGAAGTGGAGATGTTTTGAAGCCTTATTACAACACCAATTCATACTGGTATTTTGATCTTGTTGTCTTAAAGCACAGTCTACCATTCTGCTGCAGTGGTATTGTGGACAAATCCACTGAAGAAAACTATATAATATGAAGTCTGTGATGATCTGCCAGTACGCAACAATGCTAAAGAACGATCTGATGTCAGACAACTACTCAAGACAGTTTATGGAGGTCGTATATACACAAACATCATAGATACCTGGAGCCGATACGATTTATTTGAGTACAGGTTTAAGTGACATTTGAAGGACTGCAGATGGCAAGCGGAAAATGTTTGTTCCAGAATTCTGAGCTAGTGGGCAAAAGGTTGGTGTTGATCCGATACCATCAGATCCACACATATATCAGTGTATGGAACTTATGAGTGGGTAGTCTGAATGGCAAATTGGTGTTGCAATAGAGTTAACTCTAACTCCAGAGAATAACTTCCTGAAATCATTCACTGTAATAATGAAAAGGTGCAGGCAGACCAAGAATTCTGACATTTATGAGCACATGAATGAAGTAATGAAAGAAAGCTTTTCATATATCACTCTAAGCACAACATAAAATGAGAAAGTCAAATTGTTAAGTATATTGTTGACAAAAGAGTAAGTGTGATAGATTGAAGAAGTTTAGATGGAATCATTCATAGGAGCATGGTCATATTAAGGGTGAACGACCTTTGGTACTTCCGGAACTCTTGAACTGGAGATCATCATCTCAGGACACTACTCTTACAACTTGAGACCTGAAGTCTGATTCAAATGACAGTAGACAAACATCAGCTCGCGAATTTCCAGGACTGTCGGAAATCAAACAATCTTCCTTGACGTATTTGTTCCTTTCGGTTTCTGGAGTCTCACTATACCACTCACTTGAACATATCTTGAATTCAAATTCTAAATACAATCATTGATGCATAGTTTTTGGAACCAGAATGATAACTTTATTATTACTAATTGAAAATCTATGGATTTGTATGGGTGCCAATATATCATCCTTTTATATTTTTCATATAATTAGTTTTGTGTATAAAAATTTTGTAATGAAAAAGCGATGAATATTTTGAGATAAAATGAATTCGTTTCACTTCGTGTGCTCTAAATCTTCCAATATAAGCATTAAGCTCAAAATATGTGTACATTTTAATAGTTTATGATGTCTCTATCAAGGGCAAATAATTTGATATAGCTTGATGATAAAATCAATGCAAAATATCTTTGTAAAATTACTTAAAATAATCCCAGAGTAATTCGGAAAGTTTCACTGTGTAAGCCAGAACTTCTTCATCAGAATTACTCTTAATTTGTTGACCATCTAAATATTTAGTCAAAAAGTACATGCATTAACATCAACCTTTTTGAAGGTCACTTGTTGTTACATTTGTATCAATAGAAAATGCAGACAGTCATCACATATTTTATTTTTAGCGCAATTTTGATTTTCCCATTGATTGACTGGACCAAGATGTTTTGCGTCTGTTGACAAGTCGGCTCCTTGTGAAGGTGCCTCAATGACGATCGAGGATAACCTTTTGGTAGTTTGGTGGATGGTGACTAGCAGTGGAATCCTGGATGCTCATTTCGTCCTACTTGGGACTATTCACTTGGATGTGCCTACATTCCCCAGTGATTGATGGTGTTCCCACTTAGGCTCGAATCCAGTAACCACCATTTTCAAACGACAAAGTGTTATCCACTAGACCACGTGGGACCGCGCGCAACCTGGATTCTCCTACTAGTCACGGTTCACAAATTCATAACATATTTTTAATGGAGAATGTCAGATTGTCATTCTTGTACACAATTGTCTGTATGTGTGTATATTTTGTTTGTCATATGGAAAACACATCAATTCATATGTGGAAAACATGATAGCATTTTGCAGAGATCATAAAATAGGACTGAATAATTTGTTTTCTCATCTGTTTCGACTCATTAGAGTCTGTCATTTAGATGAAAAGTCCATCCCTTCCCTTCTGTTTACTGAATTCGATGTGGTCAAAATTTGCGAGCCTTCAGAGGTCAGTCATTCTTTATGTGAATGAAAACCCCTTTCTAGAATTTAGACATTGTCGAAATCAATCTTATGTCCGTTGTCTAAAGCATACGTTACTAAAGCTGAGCTTTTTTCCATACTCTTTGATTCCACTTCATCTCTAGGGGGAACGTACACAGCCTATCTTCATTCACTCTGGCCTTCACCTGTTTACTGCTCTCGCTTATACAACAAGCTTCACATTCTGAACACTTTATGCCATAGACACAGTTATTCTGCGTCATTTTGAGAACCATATCTTTGACGCTCACCACAGCTTTCTCTAGAGCATATTAGGGCTTGAAATAAACTTTAATATTATATGAAGCAAGTACTCTTTGAAGTTGTTCGGATGTGCCTTTTCAATATGGAATGGCTGTCGCAGATAGCCAAGATCTTTCAATTTTATATTTTTCATTCTCGTCCTTTATGCTGATAACATTATTTAGCAGCTGTTTCGGAATGCTATTACCAATCAGAATTTGTTTTATATTGGAGATCTCGTCCCCCATATCATTATTATTTGCTATAATGTTTCTAGTTCTGTTTACGAGATTTAGAGCTGCTGAAATTTTCAAACTTACTGTTTCCATTTCCCACCTTCAAGACGTGTAAACTGATAAGTTTTTGAGTGAAAACGGTAAAACTAAGGCAAGTTATTCTGAAAGTATATAGGCAGGTTCTGTGACTTATACATCTCAAGTTCATGAGCAACTTTTCGTAAAACTTTAATCAATATTTCTATGGATGAGTACACAGAATAAGGAAAATTAGACTGAAATAAATAATCATTCCTTTTATATACAGCTGTCGCAATCCATCACTTTGGTTGTATCGACAGAAAAGACAACACTGGCGTACAGATGTTTGCAGTTGACATATCACTTTACTTACTTACTTACCAATAACATCTTTCCATATCAAGCTGAACAGATCTTCATGGGGAAGATTAAAACGTAACTTTTGAAATTATTAGGGAAACTCGTTTACGAACTGTTTATCATGAAGTATATCTACCTGACACATGGATTCACACCTCAGTAACAATCATGATTAGTGATTTCATTCATCAAAAGTACATAATTGAGTTTATTTTTGTTGAAACCGATAATAATCATATCTGAAAGAGATAGAGAGATTAAGAGTTGAATCGGTGTTTCCCTGTGAACAGTTTACAGCATATTTGGCAATCAGTGGTAACTAATATGTAGTGTACCTTGAATTTTGTTTTACCGCGGCACCGCGCCTTCACTGTGCTTCTGGCGTGACTGCTCTCACGTGGCTTGCTCCCTCATTGTCCTATCATAAAGCACACTCTTGAGCTTGCTACCCCAGCCAGCTAGCATATAAGTTGTATAGTATTCTTATTTATTAAATTTGACATTCAGTCTGTTGTAAAAATATAATCCTCACCTGAGCACACTACCTAGTCACAATCCTTTTTACTTTGAGTTCGTTTGTCGGTACTTACACGTTAGGCAGAGTACTGATCAGGGTTACCCGAGGAAAGCAAGTTTAGTAGGTGCTGACGTCTAGAGGGTGACAACAGCATTAACAAATGTTTGAACAGCATTAACGGGCAGTTCTGAAGGTATAATGCAGAAGATTTGTAGCTTAGATGGATGATTTAGATGTAATTGTGTTCTCTAAGCTGCATGGTTTATTTGCGAAGCTTCCATTGCACTACTAGGTAACATTTTTAGTTCATACTTCAATATGAAGAAGTTCTGAAGAAGCAGATATATTACACAGAGATTCCTTTCCGACATTTTAAAAAGAAATATAAAACGTACAAGTATATGTATGTATTCAAGGTTCCTCTCCATTGATTTTATTCACAAGATCCTACTGGTGAAAATTACGACTCTGTCACTAACAGTGAAGTTATCCAACGACTGGATCTGAATCTGACTGAGATTAGGCATGAATTGAATGTAAACGTGGGTGAAATACACTCATTGCATGTTCGGGCAAACCACGTTATCTGCACATGTCAATCACCCATAACACACCATAGCGATCGTTTCCCAAATGTATGAAATCGAATTCAAAGGTCAAATTAGGCATGACAATTATCTGACACTAGAATAAATGATTGACGTTCTCATGGGATATGAGAATTACACAAATGTACATAATATATATATCACCATAACACGACTTAGTCATACAAATATCTACGACTGTGAAAGCATTCACACCGAAAACAATGAAGGTATGACAGTGGCTTCTACAACTTAACAGCAACTTTCATTCCTTCCCTAACAGAATCTTACTCTCCTCATATTCACCGCAATACTTGTGGGTCTCCTTTGCACACCAGGTATGTTTATCGATTCAACACTGCATAGCAATGAACATTTAACACATTTATGATCACATAGCTGCCGGAAGTCTGTTGTTGCTACCGTTGTCAATCAGACTTGCACTGAAACCAATGCTCAAAATGGGTTGCAGACTTATGCCTAGGTATCTGGTCCCGACAGCGGAGGAGATAGCCACCTTCTGATCTTTGAATTACTGTGTGTTTTACACAAGGTTACTTGGAATTGTGAAACTTTGTTGATGTAATAAAACCAGTATGTGAAACTCGTATCTTGTTTTATTCTGTCTCGTTTAGTTGGAAGTGTTACAGTTGTGGATATTTCTGTTTGAGCAATAATAATTCTAAAATTATTGTTTAAAGAAGGTACTTTGGGTTGTACACTTATATTACACAGAAGTTGGTAATTCATGCCGACATAAACGTTCTGCTGGTTTTAGAATGAGATAAATTTTCTGCCGTCTTATGTTTTGCGAATTTGTTCTTTTCGATTTCATTGCTCACTTAATAACTGGAGATGTGAGGCTTTGTGACATAAGTTTAATTGGACACTTCATCAGGCAAACTGTGATACCTCTTCTGTGTGACTGCAAGCAAGTCATTTCAGTATTGTGAAATAAAAAAATAATAACCTTTGGCAGTTTCTTAAAGTCAGTTTCCAGGAATCTTCTCATACTACACATTCATTTTCGTTAAAGCAATTGAGACACGATCCGCTGTACAGAATATGGCTATTCGGTTAAGGATTCGTTTTTCTTTGGTTCAAATAGAACACACATTTTGACAATAAGTTCAAAAATCATGACGAGAGTAAGGTGAAATTAATCATAGTCTTCTTATGCATACCAGTGATAACGTAGATTGCACCACTGTTAGGTGTCTCCCAAAATCTTTGAGTAAATATACATATATAGACATAACAAATTTTTCATAATACCAGACTGCAATTTCTTATATATATATGGATTAATTTAACGAATTTGCTGCTTCTGTACTTGGAAATTCTTTGTCTATATATAGTCTGTGGGGATCTTATTTCATGAGATTACAACTTTGTTACAGCACTTGTTCATGAGGACCTTGTCAAGTTTGCTACTCGTATAGGCTAAACCCCAGAATTTGGTTTTCCTAAGTGTTCATGATGTATATTAGGTCTGTGGAAGGGCTGCGTTGTCGAATTCTGACCATTGGATTGTTTGTATTTTACTGGAAGGGTATGGCAAATAACGCAAGAGCATTTTCGTTCGTCTCCCAGGAAAAGTCAAAAAATGGTCATATTCACATGGCAATATTCATTGACTTAGATGCATTTTGGATGTTACTGTCTCCAATATCACCTGCTCTCTCAAGTTCTATCTGAAAATCTGCTGTTCTACTGTAAATCTGTTTCGTGGGTTTGATAGGATTTCTTCTCCTGTGCAGGGAGAAAAAACGGAATTTGCTGATGTTCGGAGAATGAACTCCTTAATAAAATCTGAAGTGCAAAGAGTAAATGGAATATGTAGTGAAAACTTTTCATCATGTAAAATGCTTCTGTCGTCTGGAAAATATTTGATCGAATTTCAACGAATGCTTGTTCTGGTATGCACGCCTCCAGCCTATGTTCTCTAAGGCAACAAGCTAATATGGCTGTACTCGATGTTTACAGTCACTTGAATGGTTATTTTCGAGATTTTGATGAAAAAAAGTCGAGTTTTTTGATATCGATTCGGCTATCTGATCTGAGTCAAATTGAGTACATCACCGATGAGCTAGGTCCCAAACGAGCGGAGTAACCGATGTTTGAATAACCTCAGTCTGGCTAGTAAGCACCACTGGTTGATGTGAGTGGTATATGACTGCTTTATGAAAATTTGCTTGCTTTCTTGGTTACCATTCATGGTATCAAATACGTCATGGACTGTGATCAGAATAGTTCGGTTTCAGTGAAATTTCACACCTCAAACTGTGTAGACTGCCACTTGCGGGTGCACACTGATGAAGAGTCCAAAACTAGGACGAAACGGCCATCCAATACTTCAAGGTATTCCTATGGTTCTCTAAGTGATTTAAGCTCGAAATACATAGTACTTTGAAGGCTGTAAGTAGGGTCAGTGGTGTGCCTTTAACTAAACAAACCAAGATTTGTTTATAGGCCTTTTAATTCTCGTATTCAATTGGTTAGAATAATCATTGTCAGATACTGAACATCCTGTATCTCCTTGAATCTCTTAGGGTGAAAGCAGAAGAACTATCATGATAATTTATACTCCTACGCTAAGATATACAATTTCAACCATGCCATATTTAGGACCGGTGTTGTGTGAAGAGAGACAAATTTCATTAAAGAGCTCATAAACCTACTTTTTAATCTGCGAATGTTACATTTACTATTCTTCTATTACCTTTCAGGTTTAGCAGTTTTATTGTTTCTGTTGTTTGATTTACCTATCTATTTGTAATGGGAGATAAATCATCACAATATGTACCACACTGAAAATTGCATTGTATATCAGACCTCATTTGGAATATGGGATCCAGGCAGCGAGCCCGTGTTTCAAATACGAAATAGACTTATTAGAAAGGGTGCAAAGAGTAGGAACTAAGCTAATAAAGGGTTTCTCAACCCTCTCATATGAAGAGAGCTTAAGTCGACTGGGTTTATTTCCACTGTCATACAGACAACTTAGGGGTAACCTAATACTAGCATACCGTATCCTAAGAAATGATTTTGGAGCAAATTTATCTAATTTATTTCTTCCATCCAGCACCAACCAATTGCGAGGACATCACCTCAAGGTTCAAAAACCACGGTCGAATCGTCTGCGTCTGGAGATCCGCTTTTCGCATCGGATTGTGAACCATTGGAACTCCCTACCGGAACACGTCGTATCAGCGCCATCCGTTGATTCATTCAAGGCGAGATTGGACCTCCTGTTTGTAACAAATCGAAAGGATTAACGCAGGCATATAGCCTACTATCCTAAATAAATTGTAAACTGTAAACTGTATATAGGAAAATTGTTGTTTGGAATGAAATGATTAATATTATGATGATTAACATCATGGTTGATTATGGTTCATAAAGTACTTTCCCATTGTGGCAGAATTCAACTCTGCGTAACTTTGTTAGTTCGGTTTATCAAAATCTGATACAGTTTTACTGCATACAGTCATATGAAGGTTGTAGCAAAATGTTCGGGATAATTTTCTATCAGTTGTAACTTCCTCTAACTATATTCATATATCCCTCAAAGATCTTGAGCTTACTTGTTTATTTATTATTTTGAAAGCATCCTGAATAACCAGCTGATGTCCTACTTGAATCAAATATCTGATAACAACGCTTACCAAAAACTTGTGTACTTCTTATTGTAGATTTTGCAGTACTTATTCAGAAAATTTAAGACAGATCTCTTTGTCTGTCCTTCCAATGTATCTGCTTCTGCAGCTACACGTTAACTGATATACACATAGTTGAAGGTAAGATAAGAAGGATATCTGTCGACTTTAGACTGAATTAACAAACGTTCTGTTTAGTAGGCAGGAATCAATGCAGCCAGAGGAAATGTCCATTGCCAGTAGTTTCCTGAGTTGTCTGTAGAATACGCATTCAATTTCGATTGTTAACAATTTGTAAAGTAACCTAAAATCAGTTGAAGAAATTATGTCAGTCAACTTAAAGCTAAAGGCAAAGATATCTTATCTGTAATTAAAACAGTACTGGAAGGAGGTGAGAACTGATAAACAAATAGTAGAACTGGTATGAGGACAATATGCAATAAGTTTAAAAGGATAAGGAAGGAAGACAGTGCCTGTAAAAAAGAAGGAAAGGTTTGAAATCACTCAAGAAGATAACAACGGGCGAAACTATGGTAATTGTTCAGTTAGACGAAGGAAACATGATGTTGATCATTAACAAAATAAAGCCGTACGATGGAAACAAGTTCGATTTTGAGTCTTACCCCCGAACAAGCAAATCATTATCTGAAACAACTATCAACAAAATGTCGAAGGAAACCACAATGGTTATTGGCCTTATGAACAAAACAACTGGTATGCTAAAATGGGTGGAAATTAAGCCAAAATTATATAATATACCTAGAATCTCTGACGCTATGAAACTTAATGTATTATGGCATCAAAAAAGGGCTGTTGCAGATTTCAGAACTACGTCAAATCGCATTTTTACCTTGTTTATGTAGAATATACTGCATGACTGGTTTCCTGTCTAATGTTTTACAAACTGGTGATGCCTAAGAATTACCTTCAGATATTGTTGATTTCCTCACAATTCAATGCGACCGACTGTAGACATTACAAAAATTCAGCATATGTGCTGCTTAGTGCAATTCTTATCTAGTTTTGGTCAACCACGATGCAATCACCAGTGTATTAGATGGTTGTAGCCAGCTGAAAGGAAGCCTTGGATCTAGGTTTTGTGCTTGTTGGCACTCACCAGCTAGCAAGGGGTTTCTGCAATCTTAGAGGAACTTTTGTCCCTCCTGAGATATGGACCTGCATCTGAACCAGACAAATGACTAGACGCATGATACTAGTTACTAGCTAGTGTTCAATCGGAGTATCCAATACACTTCTACAGGATTTCGATGGTGAGCCCCAAAAGCTCACTGGTAGGGTTTCTTCTGCATCACTGAGTGACACGGGTTCGAATCTCAGATGGGACATGAAATCCTTCAGGATCGTGGATCTAACTTGCTGGCGAGTGCCAAGAAGTATGAAATCTTGGTCCATGGCTTCCAGTCAATTGCCTCCAACCATCTAGTAACAACAAATCAGAGTGCTTGACGGGCCACCTAGCATGGTGGCCATTTTGCAGACTTGACTGACAGAATTCAGTCTTCACCAAAACAAAGGACGCTAGTTACTAACTAGTGTCCAATCAAAGAATCACCAATTTCCCCAAACCTAGCTAAGTTTTAAGACATGTCTTCAGATAGTCGAAAATTTACCTAGCTGGAATTTTCTTAGAAAACACCACAAACCACTTGTAGGCGACAGCAGGAATAATATCTTTGAGTTTCATTTTTAGAGTAACGGGAAGGGAATGACAATGAAAAAAGCATGACGTCGTTGTATTTAATGTCGCTATTCACAAAAGCAACATAATAAATTACTGAGTCTGCATACGAATGAATCGATGGAACGTGGGTCGATAGGGAAATTCATATAGTTAGCGACGAGAAAATATCACGCCAGTGATCTAGAAGGAAAAATATAAACTTAGGTGAGACATGATTCAACCGGATGAACTCCG